GGAGGGGTGTACTGGCTGTGTTCTACCTAAATGCATTCAGTCAAAAGTTGTGCGAGTTGTGAGCCTCCAAATAAAAATATTAAAAAATATGCATATGAACGCTTTCTATATGCCTCCATCTCCCATGTGGGTTTGCGTGTACCTATATATATATATATAAATGTATATATATAATGTATATATATGTATATTACGCATACGCAATGTAGACAGCAAACAAATGCTGACAAGGGCAGAAGGACTGGGGAGATGGTAGGACTGAGATGGAGCCCTCACTCAGATGGGACTGTGAGACCTGTGAGTGCGGGGCACTGATGGGGGGCAGCTGCGGAGACGGGACTCATAAAATGCAAGCACAGCAGCAGCAGCAGCACGACATTTGAGGGCCAGCCTAAAGGTATGCTATGAAAAAATTGCACAGGATGGCCAGAGGGAGTGAGAGAGAGGAGAGGAAAGCAGCAGCTAGCAGAAGAAGCCCCCAAAGCAGGGGGAAAAGCTACACACACACACACACAAAAAATGAAGGAAAAAAACGCATTTGTTTCAAAATTAAATACTCATGTGTATGTGTGTGTTTGTGTGTGTGAGGGAGAGAGAGAGAGAGAGAGAGAGAAAAGAAAGCAACAAGAAAAAGAAAGCAAAAGTTGTTGGTTTTGTGCGTTGATTTTTGTTCTCATTTTTTACTCGACTCTGCCACTGCTGCCTCGTTATAATCATTTCCACAGTGCAGACTGCTGCTGGCCAGAAAGGAAGTTAGAGACAGGGGCAGTAAGGGCATGTGCAAGGGAGCGAGAAAGAGAGGCAGGCAGGCAAACAAAAAATAAAAAAGAAAGTGTAAAAGCAAAAGTATTTATTATGCGGCAATGGCTTGGAGAGGCCTAGAAGAGGCTCCCGGAATACATCAGAGTCAGAGTCAACGAATTGCATTCCCCACACACACACACACACACACACATACCACTGTAAAGGTATACGAGTATGTGTGTGTGTGTGTGTGTTTACTGATGAGCAGCACAGCGCGTCAACGTCCGACTGCATACTCGAGGCGGCTGCCACTTTTTTTTTTTTGTTTGTTTGCTTGCTTGTTGTGTTGCCTGCTTTTGGGCTTTCTTTTTTAGATAAATTTTTATTTGAATTTATGCATGTGCGTCGCGGCTTGTTCTCGCTGTGTCTGTGCTAAGGGAGAGCCCAAATGGGGAGAGCGAAGACAGTGCCAGAGGGAGAGGCAGAGGGAGAGCAGGAGAGCTTGAATAGTGTGCGTTGAAATGCAAACTGAAGAATATGTAAATTATCACGTATTCGTTACGATAAATATTAAAGCTGGCACAAAGATAATTATCTAAATTGCCGCAGCAATATCCAGTGATATTTTCGTAAAACATTTTCGTTTGTTTATGGAATTGATGCTAAAACAATCAACACTAGCAGCCTTAATCAAAAAGGTTTTTGTTTGACTTTCATCAACAAAAGTACACGGAATATTCGCGTTTCGAAATCAGAAGCCACTGCAACAGGAACTTCATTTTTGGTTTCATGGTTTCTATTTGACTAGTTCCCACAAATAAAAGATACGAATGGAATATTCTTTTGAAATTGTATACTTTTTCATAAATGTATGTAGACACAAACTCGTATGCACACGCACTCCAACTCGTACTCGTACTCGTTGGCAATTAACGAAATGAATTGAGAGCTATTGAAATAGGAGAGGGAGAGAGAGGTAGAGGTAGAGAGAGAGCCTTTGCATGTGAAAAATTCGTTTCGTTCTAACGTTATTAGCTTTAAGTAGAATATTAGTTTTTTGCTGCAATATTTATTATATTTGTTCACGAATAAAATCTATTTAATTTATAGATTTTTATTGGAAGTTTTTGCACAGCCTTTTGGCTCTTTGAACACCTGGCTGGAATATGGTTTTGAGTGCGTAGCATCTCATTCCTTGAAGCTGTTTATTTTACACGTCATTTCAGTGCGTTGTGCAACACTGGATCATGACTTGCATTATATTTTTCTTTTATTTTTTTTTTTGGGACTTTCTCTCCTCATTTTTGGACAACATTTCCGTAGGCTTGGGCCCATCTGGGGCCTGTCATACTGCCTCCTGGCTCCTGCCACTGGATCTCTGGATTTATCCTCATCCACATTCTCGTCATCGGGCCCCCACTTGTTGTTAAACTTCGTCAAGCGTTGCACCAAAGTGCGTTACACATACACATGTATGTACGTACATACGTAAATACATGCCTGCGTACATATGTATGTATGTACTTTTATTTTGCTACTTTTTGTGGCTGCTTGGTGGCGTGGTCGGGGCTAAGAAATATAAGAAAAACGACAGCGGCCACTCGTATTCCCTTTATGCTTTCTTTTATTCTATTATTTTTTTCCTTCCTTCTTTCTTTCTTTCTTTCTGTGTGTTTATCCCTGTTGACGAAAATTTTTCGTTTTAAAAAGAATGAGCGGAGGAGGAGCAGCTCTCGGTGGAGGGGAAGTGGGGTGTGCAGTGCGGTGCGGTGCCATGACGCGTCAGCGACAAAAAATGTAATGTGAAAATATATTTTTGCCGGAAGCTAAATGTTTTCGCCAGTTTTTTTTTTCCGTCGCTATGTCCGCTCCGCTTCCCCATGTCGCTTAAGCAAAAGTACAGTTGCGCTTGCCGAAAAGTATGCATTACATTCTGCATTCGAGCCAAAATTAGTGCCATACAAGGGGGAGTCCTGCATACTGCAGACTGTTGGTGTTGCTGTTGTGCAACCCACCAACTGTGAGGGCGAAAATCTGGGAAGAGTGTGTGTGTGTGTGTGTGTGTGTGCACCAGTGAATAAATTGAATATCGTCCCCCCCCACACACACACACACATCATAGTACGCGCTATTGACCAGCACAATTCTTGTCTTCTTCTGCTTTTTCTTTGGCTTTTTGCGGCAACATGCGACAATTTCACTCATCGTTTGATTGGAATATTTGATTTGGTTTTGTATTTTATTTGTATTACAGTCTCAAATAATAAATGTACGTGAACATGGCGTGGTTGCAGTTGCGGAGTCGAGTAGCGGCGGGTGCGGGGAATACAAATATAAAATACTCTCTATTTGGCACAACAAAAGAAAGAAGAAATTCCTATTCCCTATACTCCATTGGGGTAACAGTGCTTCAGGGAACATAATTCAATGGAGGGCAGCACTGTTCAATTTTAAAGGCAGAGAAGACTGAGACAAATTCAATAATCAATGGGGTAACATTTTCCTTAATGGAGATCTAGTAATGGCGATGGGACAGGCATACCTTTGAGTCCTAGCCCTATTCTAGCCCGAATAAACTCTTATCAAAATGTATAGAGCATCCACTTATCGAATACTACATTCCCATTCCCATTGACCAGACAGAGGAGTGGCTTGTCAGCCTCTTGTCCACTCTCCACCAGCTATATTGAAAATTATAGTGTCGTTAACATGCAACTGCAACTGCAACAACAACAGCATGGGCAATGGCAACAAATAAAAAATTAAATTAAAATAGAAAGCAAAGGAAAAGAAAAGAGCAGAGAAGGGATGGGATGGGAAGAGGACCTACAAACAGAGAACATGGCCAGTAAATAAATAATACAAGCAGAAACAAAACAAAAATATTGTATGTGGTTCGGGGAAGGTTGGAAATTGTGAACGGAAATTGCCAAGTGGCAAGTGGCAAGGTGTTTGGGTGTGTCTGTGTGCTGCTGGCCCACAAAACTGGCTGATAAAAAGAGTCAACTACAAACTAAAATCGAACAAAACAAAACAAAAAAATACTTAAATAATAAAAATGAATATAATAAATAATAAAAATAAAACCAAACAGAATAAAAACAATCAAAAAAAGTTATATCAAAGTTATCAATTGCATAGAGTGTTTAGAAGAGTGTGTGTGTGTGTGTGTTTTGTGTAGACTGTACATGGATATTGGATAGTATATAGACACATAGATTGAGAGAGATATATATATACACACACATATATATACGACAGCAAAATATATAGATTACATACATATAGATTTTTTACAAATAACTAAAATTACATAGACATTGATCGATAGACATTGAGAGAGTGTGTGTGAAAGAGAGAGAGAGAGAGACAGACAGAGATATATATATATATATTGAGGTAGAGAGAGAGAGAGAGCGCTACACATTTAACAAAATAAATATTTACTATTTATATGTATATAGAGCTATGAAACTGAACAGCTAACATTTGATATGTATATTATTATTTTTTTTTTTTTAACTGAACAAAAAAAAGTTTTGACAAAAATATTGATTTTTTTTTGTAAGAATATATTTAGGGTATATAGATATAGATAGATATATATATATATATATATATATTTGTAGGGAGGATATATATATGGTATGTATAAAAAATTCATAGACAAAGAACACGACGAAGAGCAAAAATATATGGTTGAGTTTTTTTTTTTTTTGTAAGATTTTGTATTTTGTTTTTTTTTTTGGTTTTTTTTTTAGTTTTATATATATAAATATGGTATATAGTTATACATATATATATATATAGAGAGAGAGAGGTATATATATATATATATAAGAACAGACAGAGAGAGATAGAGAGAGAGAGAGAGCAATACTTAGGTTGGTGGCAATAGAGATATGGAGACATTGGTTACATATATTATATAGAAATGGAGTTCAGATGTCAGCCAGATCGTATTCAGATATTCAGATATATTTGGGACATATCTCTGAAGGGTTTTTTTTGTAATTTTGGAATTTAGAATTTTTGTTTTGTTTTGGGATTTTCGGTATTCATCTTTTACGTCCCGACCTATCGAAGCAGCAAAAGCATTCACTGAAGGGGAAGGTTCTTGGGTTTCTTTTTTGGCGGGGTGGGGTGGGGGGAGTTTCCAATTTCGGTATTTTTGCGGGGTATTCTCAAATTTGTGGTGGGGTGGGTGTTGGGTATTTGAAAATTGTTCTCATAGTAATTCTGTGCTCAACACTTACCGATTCGTGGGAGGCGCGGTAGTCAAGGTCGCCGCCCAGTCCGCCGCCAGCTGATGCCGAACGCGGTTGCATGTGTCTACTGTGACTACTGTTATCGTCCTCACTGCAATCGATTTCTTTCTTCAGGCTCTGCAAGAACGCGACACGCAATTAGTGTTAGGGGGCCTACTCGCAGATCTCAGTTAAAGATCTACTGTCGTCGTCCGTCCACTACTCACCAATGGCACCGATTGCACTGGCAAGAGATTGGCCACAGTCCCGGGACTCAGCAGACTGGAGGTGGCTCTGCCTTCGGGTCCGCCATCACGTGAACTCCGCGATGCTGGACGCCCGCCAGCCCCCAGACTCAAATCGGAGGCACAGGTTGCACTGCCTCCTCCTCCTCCGCCGCCACCGCCACCGGCGGGCGTTGAGCGTTGCGATTCCACGGCTGCCACAGCGGCTGCTGCTGCCGCCGCTGCTGCTGCGGCCGAGGATGAGGGCAAGGATATTAGTGGCGAGGGAATCACAGTGGAGCCCGTGGAGAGATCGACACCGCCGCCGCCGCCTCCACCCATCTTCATATTGAGGCCCATGTCATTGCTGCTGTTGTCCGCCTCATCGTCATCATCGAGATCCATCTCATCGTCGTAGTCGTCATCGATGATCTCGGTCTTGGGTATGGTTGGCAGGGCACCCGAGCCCACCAGCGTCTCGTCCTCGTCGTCATCATCCTCGTTGTGGTGGTGGTGATGCCGCTGCTGGTGGTGCGAATGCTGCTGCTGTTGCTGTTGTTGCTGGTGGTGGTGGTGGTGGTGCGAATGCTGCTGCTGCTGTTGCTGCTGCTGCTGCTGGTGATGATGGTGGTGACTCAGGCGTATGCTCTGATGGGCAAGCACTTGGGCAATATCTCGGGCCACTGCTGCCGCAGCCGATGCTGTGGTTGTGGCTGCTGCGGCTGCTGCTGCTGCCGAGGCGCTGCCCACCACGACAACATCGTCGTCATCGGGATCATCGTCATGGTGGCGACGATGATGATGCTGATGATGAGCAGCAGCATTGTGCCGTGTATTGTCGGTGTCCTCGTCATGCTGCAGGACATCATCGTCCTCATCGTCGTCGTCATCGTCGACGGCAACCACAGCCAGATCGATGCCTTCGCCATTGCTGGCAGCCGAGGCAGCCATTGAGGTAGCTTTGATACCGCTTCCACTTCCACTTCCGCTTCCGCTCCCGCTGCTGTTGTTGTTGTTGTTGCTGCTGCTGGAGTTGTTGTTGTTATTGTTGTTGCTGAGGTTGTTGTTGTTGCTGCTGCTGCTGCTGCTGCTGGCGGTGGTTGTGGTGGTGGTGGCACCACTCTGCTGCTCTGTTGTCGCCGCACTTGCAACATTTTTTTGCTCCACAGCCGAGCCTGAGCCTGAGCCTGCGGCTGCGGCCGAGGCAGAGCCGGAGGCGGCGTCACGTCTTTGATAGAGATCTAGCGGCATGGGTGTGTCCTCCTCCTCGTCCTCGTCATCATCCCCAACATCGTCAATGTCATCGACATCATCGTCTACATCCTCGCCCACATGCAGGCCCCGCACCAGCTGATCCTCCAGCTCCTCCTCCTCGTCCTCCTCATCATCGTCCTCATCGAGATTGATCCTCACCGAACCGGAGACTGTTTGGCGCTTCGCTGGCGTTGGACTGCATCGATCGCTCGCCTCTCGCTTGTGGCTGCCGCTGGACGAGGATGTGGCTTCTTCGGCAGGCGTTGTGGCAGTTGTTGTGGCCGATGTTGCCGCTGCTGACGCTGCTGTTGCTGCCGCTGCTGCTGCTGCTGTGGCAGATGTTGATATTTTACTACTACTGCCACTGCCACTGCCACCGCCACCGCCACCCCCACCGCCTGTCGCTGTACTCTCCGCTGTAGCCGCTGCTGTGGCAGATGCCGCTGCTGCTGTTGCTGTTGCTGAGGTTGAGGTGGAGGAGCTGCCACTGCCACTGGTGCTGCTGCTGGTGGCCGCTGCTGCTGCTGCTGCTGCTGAGGTCGCCGCCGAAGCTGCATCCAGGGCTGCCGCCGGACTGTCGGCGGCCTTGTGGGCGCCACCGCCACTGCCGCCGCCGCTAGTAGCCTGCGAATGGGGACGCAGTCGATCGGGTTCACGTTCCGGTTCGCGCAGCGTTGTATTCTGGTTTGTCATCTCGGCAAGACCCTTGACCTGGGGAAGCATCAGAAGCAGGAGATTAAATAAGTGATATGTGTGTGTGGCATGCACTCTCACCTTGAGTGATTCGGCTGTCTTGAGCAGTGCGGACAACTGACAGTATTGCACGTTCACCTCGCCCTTGTACATGAATTCAACTAAGGTTTGCAGCTCGGCAAAACGGACGTCCTTCAATATCACAATTGGATGTCTTTCGGGATGCTCCAGGAACAGGCTCTGGAAGTACGAGGAACAAGCCGAGAGGACCACCTGCAAGAGCACACAAAAAACACACACACACACAGATTAGAAATTAGCACAAAGAGCAGCATAGAATGGAGGGGCAGACTGGTGACACTTTGTGGCGCGAAGAGAAAGGCAGAGAGCGAGAGACACGCAAAGTGGTTTTCCCTTGGCGAGATTGATACACACATAGATTGATGCGACAGCTGAGCAGATGGTTAGATGGATTGATTAAGAAACGAATAATAATTTCATAGGAAATAGTTGCAAGCCAGCACAGAAAGAAATGCACATTTCGCTGCATTCTCTGGGAGCGTTTGTGGCTGTGGCTGCGGCTGTGCACGTTGCCCACTCCTGTGGCAGGCATTTATTAGATTTACGATCTGGCTCTACAAATGCAGCCAAACGGCCGCCGCTTTTGAAGATGCCCCAAACGAACGATGCCCCATGGGCAGCCAGCCAGTCAGCCAGTCAGCCAGGAAGAGTTGGCAGCGGCAGAGTTGCAGTTCGATTCGGTTTGAGTTCAATTTGGAGTCCAGTTTTGCCAGTTGGCTGCGGGCGTCAAGGCGTGAACATGCCACGAATGACAATGCCGCCTGCCACAGCAGCAGCAGCAACAGCAGCAGCAGGAGAAGGAGAGCCGGTAACTGGTAAGGTAACTGGCAACCAGTTCCGCTCAGTTCAGTTCGTTCATTCGCTCGTTCGGTCGTTCGTTCGGCATTTGCTGTCGATTTTTATGTGCGCATGCACGCCTTGGGGTATGCAATGATCGCCAGATATCGCCATGGACCACGGACCACGGACCACGGTCTAGGTGCAGCCCCAGCCGCCTCTCTCTCTCTCTCTCTCTCTCTCTCTCTCTCTGGATGGGTTGGCTTGAATGGTTGGGGCATGGCCACTGCATCGATGTTGTAAATTTTCATTGCTGGCAAATTGAAAAGGCGTCGGCCTCCATTTCGCATATAGATTTCGCTATAGCCTAATGAGGTTTTGGCCTCAAACGGGCCACTATGCACTTGCCCTGAAGATGGTCACGTGAGCGGAGAGCGGAGAGAGAGGCAGAGGCCATTGAATGAATCCTCTGGGCAAGTGACTAAACCTCATGATTCGATCCCATCCCATCCCATCCCATGCCCATATATGATCTCATAGACTGGCTCAAACTGCACTGCAATGATTGCTCAAAAGTGTGAATCAATAAAGTTCGTGGCGATTTAACGATACTCACGATCGCCAAAGCCAAAGTCAAAGCCCACATAAAAGCTAAAACCTCTCTAAATCATGATCTCTGTTGATTATCGTGATGTGACAGCATTCCGAACGCCATTCAAGCATCAATATGTCGCGTCATGCACATGACATGTATGTTGTTTTTTGTTTTCCATGTTCGCTTTTGCTTTAAGCTCATGAAAAGCTTAAATATTGCAATAAAATTATAATTCGCATGAGATTCCAGCTACGAGGTTCACTCCCTGGTCCCTTGCATGTGTCCTGTCGCTTATGGGCACATTTGTGCATCGAAATCAAAGCCTCTCGTTTCGTTCCACGCATGTGCAGGGCAATGGCAGCGATGGTTTCTCTACCACGCTGCCATCCCTAGCAGAAAAAAAAGTGCCACCAACTGCTCCTTGGACCGCTCCTTCTATACCGCCGCACTCCGCAGTCGCCGCAGCCGCCTCCTGCTTTTGGGTGCAACTGCAACTGCATCTCGGCGTCTCCTGTCACGCGCCGTTTGCGCTAGAATTTATTTAAAAAAATGCAATCGGCCTGCACACGCCCCCGAATTGCAACAACAGCGTAAAATGAGCGTTAATAAATTCACGCGCATATTAGAAGTCAGAGACGACGGTGCTGGCAGCGGCGGCAGCGGTGGCGGTGGCGGTGGCGGCGGCTGGGTGCTGGACCAGCTCCAGAGTCCAGTATTTTTTGCACTCCCTCTACCACTCTAACCCTCCTCCCCACCCCACCCTATCGGTATGGTGGCATTAAGAAAATCGAATTTCCTGATTACAAGAAAAAAGAGAGGAGGCCTCCTCCATGCAGCAGCAGCAGCAGCAGCAGCAGGAGGAGGAGGAGGAGGAGAATGAGATGGAGGAGTGGCGGAAGGAGAAGGAGAGCAGAGAGCGATGGAGCAGGGTGGAGGAGGCGTCGCAAATTGGCAACACTTTTAATTGAACGCCGCTGTCGCGTCACTGCTTGCTGCTGCTGCTGCTTGCTGCTGCTGCTTGCTGCTCCTTTCTGTTGGCAGCACGCCCCCAAAGCTAATGAACGCCAAAGGCTTTGATTCCTAACGCTTTCTCCCTGCTCCTGCTACTGCTCCTCCCTGCTGCTGCTGCTGATGCTGCTGCTCCCCTTGCAAAATGTTGCATGTAATTTGCGGCAAAATAGTCAACAACATAAATTTGCTGACATTCGGACAGGGATTGGGGGCGAGTGAGTCTCGCGTTAACCGATCGCATGTCCCGAGTGGGCGGCAACATTCCACCCAAATTTAAGCAGCACAAAAACTGACGTTCAAGCGAAAATTAAACTAAACGAAGCGCTTCCCTCTCCCTCTTTCTCTCTCTCTCTCTTCCAGTGTGGTATCTACAATCTGCTGGGATACTTTATATATATTATGGAACAAACCATATGCAATAATTATGTATATGCAGCTGATGCAGTTCCACCTCGTAACTGCCAAGATCGGGGCACAAAACTTATTGAATTTTCCATCAAAATAATGGAAATTCGATTGGTGTATCTGCCAGGAGTATTTCTCTTTAAAAGAGGAAAAACTTTACCCAAAAATACTGTTGGAAAGTGCCCGACAGCCACTCCTAGGAGCCAACGCTGCCTTTGACTTTGCCTCTGATATTGCCTCTGCCTCTGCTGCTGCTGCTGCTGCTGCTGCTAACATTTCTATTATGGGGGGGACACGGGCACTCCCTTTTATAGATATTTTGTGGCTTGACCACCATCAGAGAGGCACAACAATAACAACAAACCAAACACTGCGGCGAAATATGCAAATTATTATGTTTGCATATCGCCGCCGCCGCCTTGGCCATTGGTTCGGTTCGGTTCGGTTCGTTCTTCTGCTGTGGCATACCCTTTTCTCGGAATTTGTTGGTTCATCCCCATTCATGGGTCAGATCTGCATAGGAATTCAAATTAATTTGAATAGAAATAATCCCTGATCTTTGCAGTAAATTAATCGCTTTTCAGTGATTATTTCCTGCAGACATTTCTTTCTGTCTGGTGAATCGTATACAAATAATTCCCAGCAGACACTAGCAGGGTATTCAAGCTTCGGTGCATTTCGATTTAAGATTTGTGTTGGCTTCTTTTTGTTCTTCTTACTGCCAGCAATCATTCTGTTTGTGGCGCTTGCGGCTCTTTTTGTTGCAGTTCTTGCTGTTCCTCTCCCTCTTCCTCACATTCTCATTCTTCTTCTTTGACTCACATTTATGTCTTAATACAATTTGAAGTCTTTGGCTAGAAATCATCATCAATACATGGATGCACGATCATCATCATCGGGGAGGATCTGCATCTGATCGGCCTCGGCCTGGGCCTGGGTCTCCTCCCACTCTCCCTGCCACAGCTGTGCAAACATTGTGATTAGGTTCTATTTTTTGCTCAATTTGTTCGCCCGCATCTCGCATAATGTGAGTAAATTTATATAATTTTCCACCATCGATTATCCCGTCGATCGATTGTTATGTAATTTAATTTTATTGATTTTTTTTTGTTCGCCCAATCAAAGGATGGGCAGGGCCCTGCCATATCCATAATTTTTCCTGCCTTCATTCCGATGGATATTAATTGGGGAGAATTTAAGTTGATAGATCGATTATGATTAGGGGCGTAGTCAAAATTCAATATTCCCATCTAGTTTGAGGATCTATGACAAAATGAAAATTACCCCAGAGCTATAATTATATTCTTGCTTGCATTCTTGGCCCAAAACTTTCAAAGTATATTTGAAACTAAAATTCGTGCATAATGTTCCATTTTCGGATCCTAACATTAATAATAATATAATGTCCCCCACCCCTCTCCCATCATCATCTGCTTCCCATAATATTCTCTGAAGCTGATTAATGGCCAAGCAACTCGAAACGCAGCAGCAAAAGCAACAAAAAAAAAAAAAATATGGAGAAAAAAATGGGGAAAAATATAAATTTATTTCAAAATATGGCATTTCTAATTTAACAACTGCGCTTCAAAAGTTGCGTTTTTTTTTGTTTGTCTGTATTCTGCTGCCTCTGCCTGCCTGCCTGCCTGCCTGCCTGCTGTCTTTCTTTCGCATGCGACGATGCGGACGCGAACGCGAACGCAGACGTAATTATTATACCCTTGACACAAGGGTATTATGATTTTTACTATACATACGTAAGTAAGTTTCTAATGAGTTTGATATCTTCTAGATTTCGCCACACGCGAAAGTGTATCAGAATCGTTTGGATCGTTTGCATTTCTGTAGGGTATCAACATTATCGACCCCCGAAAAAGCTTCCCGTCCGCTCTTCTCATGATTTCTTGGAGCTTATTTCAGTGTTTGACAAAGGGCAGGCAGGCAGGCAGGGGGCTGGGGCCAAGAGCTGATGATGAAGTATAGACGTTGGCGGGGACAGCAGCAGCAGCAGGCAGCAGCGGCGGCTACGGCAACACATCACACGTTGACCTTGATATTCGCATTCGCAGCGGAACCGAACACACACACTCAATGTGCATGAGCGTCTGCGGTGTGTGTGTGTGTGTGTGTGTGTGTAAGGCGTGCAAAGCATTAAGCAGAAAAGCAGCGACGCACGCAACCAACGCAGCAGCGACAGCATTGCTTTCAAAGCTTCTCTGCAGCCGCCGTCGCTGCGAGAGGGCAGAGCAGAGAGCTGGCGATTGCGGGTGTTTAATACAAGAAATAGAGAAGACAGCAAAAGAGAGAGAGAAAGAGCGGGGGGGCTGGCTGGCTGGCAGACGATAAGCAGTGCAAAAAAACGCAAGGAAAAAAAGTGTGCGCTGACGAGGCGTACAAGGAAGGGAGG